ATTTTAACCTGTTTTTATTTTCTTTTCTTTTTTATTACTTCTTTTTTTTCCCCCTTCGTTGTAAGCCGCCCGGAGTCCTCCAGGATTGGGCGGTCTATAAATCGTAGAAATAAATAAATAAATAAAATACTTGCCTGACAACCAAAAACGGGCTGTGTGGAGACTCCTGGGAGGGGGAGGGTGAATGGGGTCAGACAGCCCTTTCAACTACCGATTTGGCGAACCAGATGTAAAATTAGCATCCGGTTCGCCCAAAGGCAGTTTTGACTTTCTTGGCTTCTTGGAAAACATTTTGCTTCTTCAATTCTAACTTCAAAATAAAAACCAGAAGAAGCGAAACTTCCAAAGGGAAAAAAAAACTCCAAGAAAGTCCAGTTGCCTTTTGCAAGAAGGAAACCTTGGGGGACTCCAGAGATTGTCTGAAAAAACCTCCTAACTGGTGGACCACCCTCACTTTCAGGCCACAGTGGGTCCACTAAGGATGGTGTCAGGCAAGGGACCCTCCCTTTCATGCGCAGCTCCCACCGGGAGTTCATCCCAACCGAACTGGAGATAGTTTGTCAAGAGACGGGGAAACATCTCTCGTTGCTCCACTGGCCAGTTTTGCAACCTGGTGTTGAATCCTCGCCCGCCCCTCTCTTTCCTCTCCTGCCTGTTTTCAGATTTCAAAATGTCAGGAAACAAGCATTGTCTCCGTGAAGAGGAGAGGGGACCACAGCGTAGAGAGTCCTTCCATAACCTTCATTCTTTTTGAAAAGCATGTATGCGTGTGTGTTTCCACTTTGCTCTCCCCCTTCCTGTTTTACGGTTTTTTACTGCTTTCGCCTTCGGTTAGAGAAGTTTGGTGGCCACATACATTTTTATCGTAAACTCTAGCAAAAACTACTCTTCCGACATATTCTGTGTGTAAAGTTTACTGGAAAAAAAACTACATTATAATCCAACACAAAAAAAAAACCCAACAGGTTTCGGTTTTACAATGCCCTGTAATAAATCCACCCCCCCAAAAGACCCCCTTCTAACACTTTCAGTGGACAAATCCCCCGGGACAGGCCCAACTGCAAAACCTTACAAGACAAAATAAGAAGAAGAATGTCCTAAATTCGTGCCAGGGTGCGGGCAGAAACCACAGCACCACAAACCGCAAGCAAACATTGTAACAGGACTGATGCAAAAACGTCAAACTGAGTTTTAGCAAAATCCCAGTTAAGATTTCATCGTCAAGCTTTTCTTTATGCGCAACTTAACTGGCCTCTCCTCCTTTCTCCCTTTCTCAGGTGTGACACCCCCCCCCCCGAATGGTCACACTACTTGCGTTGCCTCAAACCAAGGTCAGGCGTAACCTCCTTATCCCTCCAACTCCAGATAAGGCTGGAGAAGGACCTCAAGGACTGCCTCAGCCATAACTAGGCTCCTAAGTTTCAGAACGGATGAACCACGCTTCTCTTGGGGTTCCGTGTCTTCCTTCCCAAAAACTAGAATAAAATAAAATAAGGCTGGCTTCAAAAGGCAGCTTGAGCCACACAAACCAGGAACTCAGGTTCGACTCAAGCGTCCACACACAGGGCAAAGCATGAGATGGTGAGGAATTTAGCTCCCCCGCTAAGGAGACCAGCTTTAAAAATTCAGCCGGCACGTTTTGGGGAACGGATCTCTCCTGCAGGAGGAGAGAGGAAAAACAAGGCATTGAGGGCCTCCTAGACTAAACTCATCTGCCTTTAAAACATCGCACGGCGGAGAAATATCTACCCCCAGTGCTGGGTTCTCGCTGGATTTCCCTAGAAGGCAGAGTCTGAAAGGGGAGTTTTGGCCAAATGTAAGTTCTGGGGGAAATGAAACTTCTCCCGTTTCAGACCAGTCCTGATCGGGATGGATTCTCCCACGATGACAAGGTAGACCTATCTTCGGACCAAAAGATGGGGAGGTTATTATTTCCTTTCGCGTGGAGCCCTCCACAGACTGCTAAACACTAGCTCCCCTTCTGTGGGTTTTCCGCTGTAGCCCGAGTTGAACCAGGTGGGAACATTGTCTGAACATTCAAGAGAAAGTAAAAAAAAAAAAGAAGAAGAAGAATTTGTTTCTGAAAACACAACAACCACAGGCAATGCCTATCCGTGGTTTCCTTGAAGACCTGGCCTTAGAAGAGTGGGATCCATTCTTCGACTTCGCAGGTTTTCGGCTCCGCTCTTACCTCGCTGCGTTTCTTTTTCAGGTGTCTAAAGACAAGGCCGATGACCTCGGGGAGGAGGGAGACGAAGATCAGGCAGAAAATCGCCAGCCAGGAAGAGGCGAAGGACAGCAGCTGGGCGAAAACATGGTGCATCCTTTGTTGCTTCAAGAAAGGCCTGTGGGGGGGGGGGGAAAGAAGGGAGAGAGGGGGGGAGGAAGGGAGGGATAGAGAGAGAATGAGAGGGAGGGAGAGAAGGAGAATGACAGAGGGAGAAGGAGAGAAAGGGAGGGAGGGAGAGAGAATGAGAGGGAGGGAGAGAAGGAGAATGACAGAGGGAGAAGGAGAGAAAGGGAGGGAGGGAGAGAGAATGAGAGAGAGGGAGAGAGGGAGGGNGCACTCTTTCCAGAGTCTCCGCATCTTTTCTACATCGTGTGACCAAAACTGGATGCAAATATTCCGAGTGTGGCCTACCAAGGCATTATAAAGTGGTATTAACCCTTCACGTGATCTTGATTCTGTCCTTCTGTTGATGCAACCTAGAACTGTGTTGGCTTTTTTGGCAGCTTCTGCACAGGGCTGGCTCCTATTTAAATGGTTGTCCACTAGGACTCCAAGATCCCTCTCACAGTTACTACTAGAATTGTGGTAGTCAAAATCCACTGACGTTAAAAATCACCCAGTTTTGAAAAACCCTGCTCTAAATAATGCAAAGGAGAAATCAAAATCAATTTGCTTTTATTCCAATATGGGCTAATAATAATTCCTCTGGATATCCCTCCTTCATATCCCTCAAAAGCTAGCAAACTTTTAAGAGAGGTTTGCAAACTTGTGTTTGCTTACTCCATCACATGTTTTGTAGTGCATCCTTAATTTGAAGTGAAGTTGACTGCCCATCAAACAGGCAGGTCGATATTTCCACATCTGTCTGGATGGTTTTCTTAAGTTCACACGGATGACTTCACACCTGCAGCTTCGCACCTCTGACTTCACACTTACCGTGAATACAACAGTGTTACCCACAACACCCCCCTCAAACCCAAGTTCATCCCAGGTGACAGAGGTGGTTTCAAACCCATCATCAGAACATACCAAAGTTTATTGATCATTTCAAAAGAAAACTGGAAAAAAAAATCGTAATGAAAAAAGAGCCGATTGCATTCATAAAATTTAACATTCCACGATTATTGTATAAAGCAACATGAAGATACAAAATCACAGTTGTAGTGATTAACATAGTCCGAGGTTCGGGGTTTTTTTCTTTTTGGCAAGCTGAAAAATGCACCTTAAAATCTTTATAGAATGTTTACACCCCATCTCACTGTTCCATATTTACACATCCTCTTTCTTATATACATATATACACATATATGTATATTTATACAATTCTTCCTTCTGCTTTCTAGTTTGCAAAGATCCATTGCTGGTTTTGTCGGATGAATACTATCAAACTGAGAACTACCGGTAGTCTCTTGTGCCTAGAGAGGCACTGAATTTATGGTTATTTTAGCTCACCAAGATATACAATCTTCAGTTAACCGGCCAACCGGCATAGAAGAGCGGGATTCGCACCCAAAGCAAGCTTCATTATTGAAGTCGGGGCCGAAAGGTCAGTGCAATCCAAATTGGAGGGGACAGAATTGTCCCCCGATTGTGCCAGGTTCAGAAGGAGCATCTTCACCCCATGACACCACCCAATATTAACCATGATTTGTTAACTGGATGAATTGCAAGCTTTGATTGAAACCGGCTATCCTATTTTGTTAAAAAAAAAATGGGGGGGGGGGGCGGAATGATTATTATTTTTGCCGTGCTGTTCCTTTTAGCAGTGAACATCAAAATTCTAGAAGGACCAGAAGAGATGGGCAGGTTCTTATGCAGAGGTGGTGGTTTTAAAAACTATAGAATTGCATTTTTTTTTTTTGGTCACATGGCAAAAAAAAAAAGGAAAAATGCCTCTTATTTTTAACACAGCTCTATTTGGATAGGGAGTCCACCACAATGGAAACAGAATGAGCTATTCTCATGGTTTTCCTTGAATGAAAAACTAATTCTCAAACTCCCCAAGTATTATGGTTGCCGTTATTTATTTATTTTTATTTTTATTTTTTTAAAAACACACCCTTCCCTTCTGTTCCCCAATTAAAACTGGATGCAGGAGTGGGTTTTGGGTTATCGGGGAATCATGTAAACATCAAGACTAAGGGGTTTTTTTTTTTTCTTTTTAAGTTGGGGGGAAAAATGTGGTTAGCTGACATCCTGCAAGCTTTTCCCTTTTTTTTAAAGAGCTATTTTAAGGACTCGGGTCCAGGTCTCCATTATTCCTTTGCAAAAAAAAAAATTTTAAAAATAAAACAACAGGTTGTTCTTATCTTGATAGCCTTTTGCAAAGTTGTAAAAAAAATGCAGCTTATTTGCCAGCGGCACGCATAAAATGAGATTGCTCTTGGGTGATAATGGGTGGGTGTGTTTTGCCCATTTTGTCTCCCTCTCAACAATAAGCACGTGCGTTAAAAGGCACTCGTAGTACCTTATTGCATGCCTTGTTCTTCACAGCTACACAGACTTTCCTCTCTCTATGCCCTACTATCAACACACTTTTGAGTATCTCCTCAGCCTTCTTTTGCAGGGGGAGAACCGCATCTACACATCCAAGCTTCCATCCTCCTTCGAGATTCCAACTTAGATCTTCCTCCATCGTGGCTCTCCTGGCCACAAACACTTTGGAGGAAATTCCACGTGCCATCGAGGGTGTCAGGAGGAGGGTAGTTTTTTCCCCATGCTGCAAAGGATTCTGCCAATTTGCCCGTGGATACATGCTTTGCTGCTCTGCTCATGCAAATTTTGATGTTGTTGTTGTTGTTGTTTTATATGTGCCAAAAGGTTTTATAGGACACCTTCGAAGGATGTGTAGAGATGGCTTGCTGGATGTGGCAGAAAAAGTTTTTCCGTGCTGTTCTTGATTAAACAGCCCAAACTGGGCCAGAGGAAACAGGCGGACACTCTAATCCAAAGATTAAGGTGGACGAATGAACGGAGATTAAGGGGGATAAAAAGAGAAATCCAGGGAGGTCCAAACAAAACCAGAGTTGCTTGGGTCTAACACAACTCATATTGTCCCACGTGGGTGACCAGCTATTCACCCGATTCTTCCTTCCTGAGCAAAGTCTTAGAAAAACGGGGTGCTTCTAGGAACCTGGCCTCCGTCGATGTTTTGGTTTTCACGCTAAACGGTGACAAAACGTGGAAGTTTGAGAATCCCAGATGCTTTGCAAAGCAATGTGCTAATGCATCCAGAATGTATTGCTTGAAGTATTAGTTCTTCCCTTTTGTATGCAAGACAATAATAATAATAATAATAATAATAATAATAATATATATATTTTTAGGCTTGGCGGTAGTCAACCAGTAGGCCCCAACTGAGATATATACCTTACCTCCATCCCATTGGAACTTCCCGTAGGTTTTAGATGGGAGCAGAATTTGCACGGCAAAAGATGACAAGCCCACTCAGCCATCTACCACTGGCCACATCTGGCACTCACGATGTCCTACAGCCAAAGTTCTTCCAGCGTTCCACAAAACCAGGATGGTCCAGTGGGGGGGAAAGAGGGTTGAAGCCCAGGCACTTTTGACGCTTTTGAAATTAAATGGGCCTTGACTTTGGACGGTGTGAAAGCTTCCAAGCCAGAGGGAAGAAAACGGATTGCATTTCGAAAGAGGAGAACTTGGGGTGCATCTCATCAGCTTTCTGAGTTTTCCCCATGGGGTGTGTTTGTATTTTTAAAAAAAGTGGCTTTTGTTACATCTGCGTTGGTGTCTTGCGGAGAAAGTCCATCCCCATTTCCTTAATCAAACCCGCTGAGTTGGTGAGGAAGAGGAGGGGGGGAAAAAAGAGAAGATGATGTAGCACTTCATGACCCAATTTGTTGGTAGAAGAATGGAATTGCTGCAGGGCTGCGAGGAAGCAGGCTAGACGAGAGACCTCATCCGACTCGACGCTTGCGAAGTGAGAATTAAAATCTGTGCTCTTTTACTAGTTCAGAAGGGAAAGCCCACAGCTGGGAAACTGTCTTTTCATTCCCCCACCCCTCGCCCGACAACCCATCGCAAAGCAGAAGATGCTGCGTCCTTCCTTTCAAGAGTCCCAAATCTCGCTCAATTTTTCACGATCCAAATGGCCAGTTGGGGGGGCTCAGGGACTGGCATTATGACGATGATGGGGGTGGGAGAGAGAGAGAGAGAAAGAGGGAGATCAACTCCAAATCTTCCAGATTTCGCACCGGTTTTTAAAAAGTTCCAAAAAAAGCCAAACCCATGCACCTTTTTTCTTTCTTTTTAAATGGCATCTTCCTTTTGGGGTGCATCACCCCCCACCAAAAAAAAAAAAGCAGAATTAAAATTGTTGCATTTGAAATATCCTGAGATGTTGGCCAGCCAAGTGAGTGAGAGTCTCTGTGGGTTTCACTTCGGCGGAATGGCCCTTCTCTAGCTGCTTGTATGACACCAGCATTGGTAACTCCGAAGGGATGGGCTGTTCAAAACAAACACACAGACACACACACACACACAAACACAAAAGAGAGGGGAAGAGAACCGTTTAGCCACATCGCTTGCTATGGATGCTGTCACCGCGGTTTGCAAAGACACACAAAATGATCAGGTATTCGAGTTGCAGGCAACGCATATAATTAGATTTCTAAGATTTCAGGAGAAAACGAACATTGCAATTTCCAAAGAAAAGGACGGAAAAAGAATGCCAAAAACACTATTTTCCATGAAAGAAAAACCCATCTTTGGGTTTTTAATCGAATGAGCGTGGAGATTTTTTAACTTCTGGGCAAGGCTGTTCAGAGGTTTGAGGAACTAAACAGCTGTAAACTTTTCTAAGTTATACTATAAAAATAGAAGCATTAATTTTCTCATTAATTTTTCGCAGAGGGTTATATAACATCGGAAATCCGAGAAACATTAGGCTTAGTGTGAAAACATTCCTATTTCTAGGAATTGCATTAT